AGTGGACGTGCTTTTTGGTAAGTTTTTTTTTATTTTGTGTGTGTGTGTGTTTTTTTCAGTTTAGGGCTTAGGGTTTACGGCTTAGGGTTTATGGTTTTAGTCTATTCGTGTTTGGGGGTTTTAGGGTTTTAGTATAGGGTTATATCGGGATAATAGGGAAATACTAGGGTGGGATATATTCGAGAGCGCAGAGAGAGAGAGAGATACAGTGTTATTTAGGGGTTGTACAAGATCATATTGGGATATCTAGGGCTTATATAGGGTTGTATAGGGATATGTAGGGCTTACATAGGAATTATAGGGGAATGGAACAGAACACAACCACTGTGGTTCAGGGCTTCGGGCTTGGGTTTGGGGATGTGAGCGATATGTGTGGAAGGATAGGTCGGTATGTATAGATATATGGATTTGTAGGGATGTGTAGGGATGTGTAGGGATTCATAGGGATGCATACGAATGTATAGATATATAGAGATATAGAGATATAAGTGGCTCGTTGGATGTAATTCTAGGGTTCACATTGTCCCGACATTAGGCGTGCCTTTGTGGGGTTCCCCTGTAGGGTAATGAGGAGCATGGTATTCGGGGGTACGCATGGGGGAACCTTGGAAGAACTCATCTCGCGTCCCATACCTAGCCTGGGATTTCCCAAATCCCTATACCCTTTACACCCTTTACACTCTCCCTTGGGTACTGCCCCCCCTCAGTAACAGCTGGATCATAATCATAATATGGTTATATATATAGCCCTTAATAGGGCCCCTAATATCGACTGTTACTGGGCGGGGGCAGTACCCAAACTAAACCCAAAACCTTAAACCGCGTTGGGATCCCCCAGTCCTTACCTTAAGGAGCTGGGTGCACCAGAACCTGTAGTTGGGTTGCCTTGAAAAAACTAGGGGTGGGTTTGAGCATAACTTTTTTTTTTGGGCTCCTAAGCCTTACATAGGGGACTATCTAGGGGTATATAGGGTTCAGGGTTTAGAGTTTCTAGAATGCCTTAAAGTGAAATTTTACAGGCCCCCGAACCTACCTTAGTCAGGAGTGGGCGCGCCGGAGCAAAGCTGGGTTGTTTTGGAATAACCTCTTGCTTTCCATGTATCCTGAGCCCAACAAGGATGAAAAGATGAAAAGACCACTGTACCTCAACAGTCTATCAACAGCAGCCGGTTGAACTCGTAATATATGGTATACCCAGCCCCTGCTGTTACCCCTACTGCGGTTATAGTCCCCCTTAAGTAGATAGAACATGGTTTTGGGGTATATTATAATAAGATCCCCATATACCCCATATTCTATCTACTTAAGGGGGACTGTAAGGTTTCAGATATACCGAGTGAGGGCGCTGCCCAACCCAAGTGCAGGCAAACCGAAGGTTTCAGCCTCAAGGAAGTCCAGGCGCGTGCATCTAAGGAGCCAGAGAGAGCGAGAGGCATCCCTAAACCCTAAACCCTAAGAATATATAGGTTTTGGGGTCTGGGGCCAATTGCCTGTTGCCAAAATGGCCATTTTGGAACGGATGTTCCGTGCCTTTTGCCGAAATTGTAGACTTAGGGGAACCTTAAATGTTTCAAATAATTACCCCAAAAGACCTGTTCGAAGCTGAGGACGGCTGTCGGAGTTACAGTCCCGGCTTCTTCAGCAGGAGGGGGACACAAGGTATGGGGATAAGGTCATGGAAATAAATATTTGGGCATTCTCACAACGCTAAAGTCCCCCTTTAGATTCATATGGCTTTGTGTGCAAAATAATTAGAGCCCCATATACCCCATATTCTATCTACTTAAGGAGGACTATAGGTCCCCAGGCCCCAAACCATGTCTCGTAGTCCTAGCATCATGGTACAGTCTTTCTGCACTGCATGTGGTGCCTTCTCTGTAGGCCACTGTACTTCACCAATCTTTCAGCTCTTAATTTCAACCATAATGGAAGATACCCTTAAATCCGATTCCAGCTACATACCGGGCCCCTACAATATTAGTGTCGTTGTTACTGTTGTTACTAGTGTTAGCATGTTCATTGCTGTTCTTTAGGTGGACCCGACACCCTGTAACAGTGACTATAAGGGAGAATGGTGATTTATTAGGGTCCTCGCATATTCCTTTTTAAACATTATTACAGGGCGGGGGTCCACCTAAACTATTCTTATCATTGAGGTTCCATGTCAGGCCCTACACCCTAAAGCCCTGAACCCTATGCCTCATATCCAACATCCTTTCTGTAGGGGTGGTTGGACTGGGTCCAGGTGGGCACAATGACCAGGTCATAAGGTCATTCACGCCCTAAACCCTAAACCCTAAACCGAACCTCATCAGGCCATCAGAGGAATTTGCGCTCGGGAGGCCATCCTGGAACATGCATATACCCTGCATCTGGGTCTTATATGAACCATAGTCAAGACTCCTCGCAGGGGCTTATATAGAGGACCACTATCGGGGCTATTAGTATTACTATAAAAGGGGGTAGGTACTAGGAGTTTAGACTATAGCTGACATGAGGGTTTCGTGGTTTGGGGTTGAGGATTTTTACGGTTCAGGGTTATATCAGCCATTAAGGGTGGACATAGGGTCCTTTCGGCTTGGCCCCTCATATATTCTCTTATAGGGGCCCATGTGCATTAATTATGTGGGAAGTGTTGATCCCTATAACCCCCCCATATAAGCCGAGTTTCCATTCAATTGTCCAACTTTCTTTTTCATGTGATTGGCCGTCATAGCCCTAAATTCTCTACAAGTCCATGAATTACATGGGAGATGTTGATTGTAGCTCATGTAGCTTGGACTTCGGGGCTTCGAGGAAACAATAAATTTACCGCTTAAAGTCCTTTCATGATTACAGCACACCACAGAACTCTCATTGTCAAGGTCTCTGCATTTTGCGTTGGATGCTGATGCTGTCCCCCCAGCCTGTGACAGTCCCCAGGTAGGGTGATTTTGGTAGTGTTCTACCCTCAATGAGGGTCAGGTATGTAACTCTTATAGGGCGGGCCCGTATACAACACGTGTACCTTCATGTAGCCAATGTCCGAGACGTTCGTGTTCTCTGCAACTAGGTAGGGAAAACCCAAGTTCTGACCACTAATATCCTCTAGACCCCCATTCTTATTACTGTTGATACCAAAAATCCTGCATGACCTGAGTATACCGTGCCACCATATTTTCAAGGTGTAAGATATTTTAGGGTCACAGAATCTGGGGTATCAACCCTATTGTAGATAACCCACCAGTGATTTGTAATATGCCCAACCAAGCTCTGCAAAAAAGTATCTGAGACTTGGTTTAGGGTTTGGGCAACGGAAGCCGTGTCGATGTTATGCACTGCCGCTCTCGAACTATGGCTATGGAGTCTTTTGGGGAGTACCTAGTGCAAGGGTTATCCTGGTTGTATTTATTTGAAGCCATGCAAGGGTGAGCTCTTGTTTCGGATAGAACCATATAGAAAAGACCAGGCATCCTTTGCTGACCAATTCGGATCGTGGTGGTGTTTACCTACTGATAGGATGCCCACCCTAAGTTTCTCCAATGCCTCTCTGGGACAGGGCCAGATCCTAGACCCTAAACACTAGAGTGAGCTATGTACATGTCTGCAACTCATTTTGCCCCAGGATTTCCACGGGTCTAAACTGACTCGTCTGGCTCAAGCGCTGTGTTGCGGCGTGGTGCAGAGTTTGGGGTACATCATTCAATGCAGAAGCTGTAAGCAGCAGGAAACACAGGGAGCCTATCGCAAGTTTGTGGGACTGGGCTCAGGACCAGCATCTCAATACAAATAGAGATCCGGCAAGAAGTGTCCCCAAGCGCAACGCCAGTGGACACCGGAAGACGCAGCGAGCCCTGACTGACGTGGGCGCGGGGGGGGGGGGGTTCGGCCTGATTTGTTGTCCTTGTAGGGTTTAGGGTTTAGGGGTCCTTTTGCGGAGATCCCTGCGTCAATGACTCTCGCGGTTTAGAATTTGAGGGTGTGCAAGGGGGGTGAGTCTGTGAAGACAACTATGCGGTGTTTAAGCTTTGAAGGTGTTGCTGCTGCCACCCGAAACCTTAAACCCTAAATAGTCGTTTCCTTGTGATTTTCCAGTATCTCTATATAACCCCTGTATAATATGCTATAGTCGTTTCCATTTTATTCTCCATTCTCCCAATATAACCCTTACTCCCTGAGATGCCAGTCTCCAACACTTAGCAATCTTATCCCTCTGATATTACACTCCCGCAAACTAACATGGAAACCCATATAGCCCCCCTTTAGAAGGACTGTAGTCTTTATAGGGCCCTTTTTGGGTTTCCATGTTATACCGGGAGTGTAGGTAAATTTTCCGTGTCTAGTCGTACTGTATGGTGCTCTCTAGAGACTCAGACTCCCATGGTATCTTTTGTTCCTTCTGTTCAGCTTGCAACCTTAAACTCTACACCAGTGCCGGGTTAATAGCACCCTCCGGAGCGATAGTTCGCGATGAACCCCAAACCCTAAAACCTAAAGTTATATAGGGATTATAGGGTATATATTGGGGTTACATAGGGATAATGAAAAAGAAAATGGAAGCTATAGTATACTAGGGTATATTTTAACCTAAAGACTTTTGAGCTGCTGGGAGTTGGCCTGCCGGTGCCCAACTCTGGTTTGTGCACGGCCGGTGTCGTCTTACTCGTCTCCAGTCACAGTGTGGGTGTTCATTAATTTTGCGAGCCGTTACGTTTGGGTAGATCATTATGGTGGTCTACCGGTACAAGCGGGTTGAAGGGCAGGGATTAAAATGTGAGGATCTATTGGGGCTCCTCGGGACTTCGCTTGGACCTTAGACCCTTAACCCTTTTGGATTCGCCTGTACCCTTACTATAGGTAGGCTAAGGAGCTATAGTCCAAACTCCTTAGAGGGGGGTTATATAGGGGATTATACAGGGGACTACTACAAGAGTTATTAAGGGTCATATGACTGTAGTACAATGTATTTGAAATTTCACCCCACTGGTTCAGGCCGCTACTTTCGACACTTTTCCGCTAAGGTCCCAGAACCTCAGAGCCAATGGAGCTCCACGCAACTCGGCAAGTGAACATTTTTTTTTTTTGTGGGGATACGATGGTACCCATTATGGAGTAAGATTCTATCCTCCCTTTCAGGTATAGTCTATAGTATTTTATATAAGGAATATAATCTTACTAGGTGCAACCACCAAAAAAACGCTACTCAAATATAGCTTGTGATGTCACCATATGAACTACAAGGTTTAGGGTTAAGGGTTTAAGGTTTAGGGGGTTACATAGTGCGGGATTCTGTTATATATGGGGAGTATTATAGGAGTCATTCAGGGGGATATGAGGAGTTTGGACTATAGCTCATATGCAAGCGGAGTTTGGGAACCCTACCCCCAAATTAGGACCCTAGTGTAGTTATATGTTGTACCAAAGCTCTTCGTTGTTCAAGAAGACGGAACATGAAAGCTGGGAAAGCATTAAACGCAAATCAGGAAGCGAGTATGGACACACGTCCAGATGCGTAGGTTCTAAACCCTAAGCCCTAAACCCTAAACCCTAAAATATAGAGTAGTTTCCATTGTCTTTTCCATTCCCTTCTCTATAACTAGATGTTGATGTTGCATGTCCCCCCTACCCATTCCCAACACACCGGGCGCGCGGCAGATGGGAAGCCACTGCTGGTAGGTTTACAAAGTCATGGTTTGTTTCGGGGTCCCAACTATAGTATGGCCCCGAATACTTAGGGCAACCAATAATGGACAATAATTCGTGATAAGCCACCATATCAGCAAATTACGTTTCAGTCCGTAATATTCTCGAAGGCATTCAGAGAGCTACGTCACAACACGACCACACCGTACCAGTGCGACACCGCAATCAAACTACAGCTTCCACTGTGCTAAAGTTGAAGCTGTGGGCCCCCTAATATGGGCCATGATTCTGGGACCCTTATATACCTGCTATTTACCTTATTTCAACCTTACATGCCCAACTATGGGCCGACAGTTAGGACCCGGGAAACAGGTAGGGGACCTTTGTAGGAGCTCATAGCTCATAGTTAGGACCTTAGAACACCTACTGCCCTAAACCCTGCCCACGTAAACTTACCATTTCTTAGGGTACCCTGATTTCCTTAATTTTACTATGTTAACAGTTTAAGCTCAAAATGGCCACCCCCCCAAACCCTAAGTAGTGGTAATATACCCTAAACCGTAAACCTTAGCCAACCCAAGCCCAGCTCCGAGCACGTCCGAGTTGGGTTTGTTCACACGCAAATGCGGTAAGCAGGGAAGCAACCTGTGCATCCACTCATGCACTGTAAGTGCATGTTTAGGGTTTGGGGTATAGGCTTCGAAATTTAGGGTTGAAGGTGTTTACGGTTATAGTCCCCCTTAAGTAGATAGAAATATGGGGTATAGCGGGCCCTTATTATACTATACCCAAAGCCATATTCTATCTACTTAAGGGGGACTATAAGGACTTAGGCGTGCTTCAGATTGAGCATCCTGGGTTCCTCTGCTACCCCCCCCCAAACAACCTGTCCAGGCTTCCCCCTGTGTCAGTATATCTGGGGGTAGTAGCGGAAACCATGGGTCCGAAGCTCTATACCATAGACCCTAACACCTAAACACCAAAAACTAAACCCCTAAACCCCAAGACCCTAAAACCTCTAAACTCAAAACACTAAAGCTGGGCTCTTGTAGAACAAAAGTTTACATTTTTATGGATACCTGGGTCCAATATCAATAAAACAGATCTTTTAAATAGTATTTCAACAAGAACCCAAAAAGTCCCTTCAGGTAGTGGAGACCGACGGCATCCCGGAAGGCTGTGTGCTCTCTGTGCGGGCTGGTGCTACCCGCCGGCAGGCGCTGAATAGGGTTTAGGTCTTAGGGTTTAGGGTTGAGCGTGCAGGTTTTAGGGTTTCGGGTGGAGGGTTTAGGTATTTAGGGTTTAGCGTTCGGGGTGAAGGTTTTAGGGTTTATCGTTTTAGGGTTTAGGGAACCTGGAGACATACAGCGCATTTCGGGGTCCCATAGAAGTAAAATCAAATTAGCTACTTTGGGTTTGGGCCCACAAGAAGGTAGAATACAGCCTCTACAACCCCCTCATGTTTTGTGATTCTTGTGATTCTCCGCTTATGAGCCACTTTTTTAAACATGCCCTTGTGCCTCTTGCGTATGCCGCTGTATCAACTCAGTGGACCATCTCGCCTCCAACAGGAAACCCTCCAGCCCAAAAGGGTCTTGGGTTGCAGGCATGGTAGAGGGGCAAAATTGTGGGCATTTTCTAGGTTCCCAGATATACCCTAAACCCTAAACGTACTTTAACAACCTACCATGTAGTTGCTGAAGTAAAAGTTATAGTCATGGTTGAGCTTAGGTGTACACCGGGTCAATACGAGCTATAGTCTAAACTCCTAGTATTCCCCGTTCAGACGATGCAAAGAGGCCCCCGTCTCTTCGGACCGGCCATTCCGTTTCAACTGCACCGCGGCAGAAGCCACGCCCTTCAAGGCCTTGCCATTTTTTACGATTAAGGCCTGCATTCACTTAATCAAGGAAAATGCCTTGACTCACTCTAGGGAACCTAGAATTATTCACATTTGGGGTGTGTTCTGAGCTCTCAGGGAATGCATGCAGCTGACAGGCCTATTCTAAAGAAGGTGCAGGGTAGATGATTAGAATATTTCAGTCAAGTTGGGCAGCTGGACAAACTGGGTTGCTGTTAAGGAACTTAAATTAAGTTACCACAGTGAGTATACATGAGTGAATATGGTTCCCTCATGAACTTAAATTCCCTGACAGCAACCCAGCAAAAGCATGCCAAAAGTCTGCTTGGCAGCGCTAAGATAGCCAATTTCAAGAGAGGGGCGAATGATGGCCTTGTTTTCTAAAGCAGCATGACCCGTTGTTTCTGCTTTAGTTAGCTCACACAGTGGGGGAGAGAGAGAGAGAGAGAGGCATAGCCCCCGCGAGTGCTCTAGGGTGCTCGCATGGCCAGTAGAAGGCGAGAGAGATGTGAGAGAATGATGTGGTTCATGTTACGGAACTTAAAACTGAGTTACTAGAATTGTGGAAGCATATTAACTAATCATTATATGTACCCATTCTGGCAACTTAATTTAAGTTCCTTAACAGCAACCCAGATGAGGTTCAGAGGGAGGGAGGCAAGGAGTTGCAAAGCGTTTTTTCCTCCTTCTTTGCCTTTATGCAAATCGAGATGTGTACCATGTGTTGAATAAGCCACCTCATTCAACACCTTAACCCTACCTGGAGAGAAAAGGATTCATAGAAGCCCTATTTGGTAGTTTCCCAAAATAAGGGGACCCTAATATAGACCCCAGAATATTATAATCCTTATTATGGGGACCCCCAATAAGGTACCCCTAATTTTGGGAAACCCCTATTTATTGGTTTAAGCCGGGCAGGGGACAAAGCCTAAACCCTAAACGAGCAGGTGGATGTGCTAGAGCCAGTAGCCACGGCCCGCCTGATCCTTCGGCCAGGCAAGTTAGCCCCGGGAAGACATCAGCTTTATGGGTTTAGGGTGTAGGGTTTACGGTTGGGGGACATACATACCTAAAGATACAGCATCACATATACATAGGATACATGTTTGCATACAGGGGGAAGCCTTTGTATACATCCACATGTTACAGATGCATAAGTTTATGTCCACTTATACGGTACTTTTTTTAGAAGATTATCTTGAACTTTTGGGATTTCAACCCTAAACCCTAAACCGTGTGCAACTTTAAGGTTGAAGCCATAGGCCCCTAGTATGGGCCCTTAACCCTGGGAGCCTAAAGTACCTACTATATACTCTTTATGTACCCCTATGGGTACCTAGAATCCCCCAAAGGGCTTAAGGGCGGGCCCATACTTCCAACCTTAGGACAGCAGTGTCCTGCGCAGTCGTGCCGCAGGTTCTGGGGGTCCTTGCCTAAGCCTGCGTATGTTGACAAGATAATCATCAGGTCCTTCGAGTTAAGGTTAAAATGCATAGTCCTCCTATTTTACAAAGGTACTATGTTGGAGGTTCACTTCACCTATACATCGCTTCCAAATTCGGCGCAGTTTCACGAGGCACGAGTCTCCATGTCGAGGTTTCCGAAAATTCAGGGTCCTCTTTGAGCAAGTCCCTAGAATAAGGAGTTTGAGGTAAGGGTTATTTTGGAGTCTATGTTGGGGCCCCAGATCTATTTGATTTTCCATTGTCTTATCCATTTGACTCCTCATTATTACCCCAATCCCCAAACGCTATACCCTATCATTCCGATTTTCATGTCATTTTCTTTTTTCTTTTCCATTCCATTCTCCATTGTTGAGCTAATATCTGTACAATCCTTCCCTATATGTTAGCATATCTTCCTTACTTGCTTGAAACGGTTATATGTTTCATTTTCTTTGGCTAGGGCCTATAGACAAGCCTACCATGCCAAAAGCTACGTGTAGACGTTCATGCACGGCAGTTTTCAGATCCTTGAAGCACGCAAAGAGGACCTGTGATGTTGAGTCTAAACTAGCAGCGCTAAACCCCAAACATTGTAAGCTAGAGGTCTTAAACTTTGCGCGCAAAGGTGAGGAGAGACGCGCGGACTGCCAGCAACTTGACATGTCTTTGAGAACTCGGAAGCTCACTGGGGGTAAGAAGGGAATAGGGGAATCTATAGGGCTTAGGGTTTAGGGGCTAGGGAAAGTAATTAACGGATAAGGGTACATAATTATTATTTAATCGTTATATAGGGACATATTCCCACAAACCATTGAGGAAGGCAGGTAAAGGACCTAAGCGATGAAGGTACGGTGTGGGGGTGTTATAGAATGAGGTTACAGGAAATGCCCAGAGAAAAGGCAAGTAACAGTTCAAACCCTAAACTCCAAAACCTAAACCCGAACTCCTAACCTGTCACAAACATGAGGTGTGCTTCGTCCTGCCAAAGACGTGCCCGCCTGGACCCTCCAAGTTAGCACCCTTTTGGGGATCCCTTTTGATATGGGCATAGGGCTCAGGGTAAGAATTGTAGTCACAATGATATTATTTCTAATACTAATGCTAATACTGTTATAATATTAAAAACCACGTCAAGACCCCAAGAGGAGCTACCTCTGCATTTGCGCGTACGCAATGTCTAGGATGCAAGGCATAGCGCTTTCTCGAAACAATGGTTTCGCTGAGCATATGTAGGAAACCGCACACATCTCCAACGGCACCGTCTTGCATTACAAGATTGCCAAAAGTGCATGATTGGTGGCATGCCTAGGACACCTATACCCAGGCAGACTGCAGCTTAAGGGAAGAGGTTATGCGGGGTGGGCCTTTAGGAGGCCTGGGCAAGGCCAGAAGCACCATGACTTGTGCCGTCCCAAAGCCCCATAGCTTTTTGGGGGAATGGAAGAACGAAGCTACTATGTAGGTCTCAGAGTTGGAGGAGTGGAAAATCAAATCGACAAGCAAATGGGAAATGAAATGGAAAGTGGTGGTTTATGAGGAATTATGGTGTTTTAGTGTTGAGGGTTAGCTTAGTTTACTGGTCGTTAGTTGGAATGGAGGAATGAACCCCTGCAGTAGACCCCTACATAATCCCGACAATAATAGCTTCGCTTTTCCTATCCGCACTCTCATTCCCTGCTAACCACCCCTGACCCTAAAGCCTAATAAGTAGCCTCCTATCATCAACCAGTGAGTGGACCAGGTACACCATCCCGTTGGAGGCTTCAAACTCCTTTGAGGGCTCGGCCCCATCGCCAACCTCACCCCCACAAGGCCTGCGATAAGCATCACCCGTCCTCTGGGGTCCTGCTGAGGAACCTAAAGTCTGTCTACGATGTATCCTTACTTTGGTAGCTTTGTCTAAGCTCCTTAAGGGCAACGCACTCTGATGTATGAGGTCCAGTCTCCAAGCTTTCGTTTTTTGGGGGTCAGTGGATCAATGTTGCTGTGCTTCTCGTCTACCGCGAGCATGCCCTCCGCCCTGGGCACAGACGCGTTACCGGTACTTTTTGGGGTGTGAAGGAAAATGCCGTATGGCCATATACCCCTATATGAACCTATCAATATATCTAGAACCCTAAACCCTAAAACCTCTAAACATTAAACCCTCAAAGCCTAAAACCCGAAACCCTAAGATCCTAAACCCTAAAACCCTGAACCCGAAAACCCTAAAATTTTAAATCCCTTAACCCTAAAACCCTGAACCCAAAGCTGCCTCATGTTGTGATCCAGCCTTCCAGTTGCACCGGGCCTTTGTCTGGCTAGACGAGCCGATGACTAGCCTTGGCTGTGGGGTCTAGGGTTGTAGGGTCTAGTGGTTTGGGGTTCAGGGGTTCAGGATTTAGGGTAATCTTTTGTGGTGGCTACAGATAACAGGATAGTGAGCCTGAGATGTGGACGCTTTTTGTCGTTGCTTCTGCTGGAAAAGATGCCTTGTCTAGTACCGTAGTAAAGCCGCAGTTGTAGATGGACCCCACCCTGTATACCAGGAATAACATAGGACCCGAATATCATTATATTCGCCACTATCCCTGATAGTCTCTATTACCGGATGAGGGGTCTGCTGTTGGTCATTGTCCTTCACTGATCGGGACCCCGGGACCCTGGGATTTGCTGCGCCTGCAGCGTGACGTGCGCGTTCCAGCACTAAACCTCATGGTAGCCCTAAAGCCTGAACTCTGAGCCCTAAATCCCGGATCCTTTTTTTTCCTTTCAATTCTTCAATGCCCCAAGGCTCTACTTCCCTCGTCCCTAAATCTCAAAAGGAACCAATAATTACGCATCATGCAGCTTATGGTATATACCCGGAAAAAGGAGTAGTTATGTGGGAACACCCAAGCCCTTCGGGCCCTAAGCATATGCAATACACATACACGTATCGCTTGATTAACCCCCACCCAGTAATCGTGATTATAAGGGATACTAAGGATCATATTAGGGTTCCATTATATTCCTATTATACCACTATTACCAGCTGAGGGGTCCTCGGAACCTAGACCCTAAACCCTAAACTAAATCCTAAACCCTAAACCCAAACCCTTTTTGGGTAAGTTATGTCACGGTGCAGGGAGTGGTGGGGACATGTCCGTGACCATTGCCGTGAGCCCCTCGGACGAAGCGCCGGCAGAGGCCGGCCTCGTTGGAGATATGTTAGTTAGCCAATGGAACAACTCTTTACTTTTGGGCCTTCCTTATTTGGTCTTTATATTAAAGTTTGAACTTGTTGGGCCCTGGGTTGTTGGGAAGAGAGTATACAGGATATAGTCTGATTTAGACCTCAAAGAGGGGTTGTATAGGATTTAGGTTACCTGCGCCAGCATTCACGGGCCCCGCCCCCCTCCCCCCTCCCCCCAATGGTCGTTGATGTCCATGAGATAGAACATGATTAAACCCGCCTCCCCCACCGGGGTCCGGTCTTATGGTCTGGGTCTGGTAATTTAATTGAGAGGTTGGATTAAGTTTATAGAAGCTTAAGGTCGTTATAGAGGGGTTCTACACGGTTTACAGAAGGTTTGCAGACGGTTCATTGATTTGATAGCAGGTGTTTATAGGTCTCAAGATCTTTTCTGAAGGGGTTTGTAGAGGGTTTCTGAAGGTTTGATAGGGTTTTCTACAGATTTTACAGATTGTTTCTAGAGGGTTTATAGAGGTTATATATAAGTTGTTGTAGAAGGCTTTCAGAGGGTTATAGCTGGTATAGACGGTTGGCAAAAGGTTAGAGAGTTTTCTGGAGTGTTCGTAGAGAGTTTGTGAAGGTTTCATACAGTCTTTAGTGGAAGCTTACGAAGGTCCCCCCCTGTGGTCCTGTGGTCTGGATGGTGTGAGAGTTTATAGAGGGTTTGAAAGAAGGTTTCAGACAAAAACGGAGAGTTCGTGGTCTTGAGAAATTGTAGAGATGGCTCATTCCCAGATGGGGGAGGGGGGAGAGGGGGGGGGGGAGGGGGCTGAGAATGCGAAGTGGATGCAAGCTTCATGCCCCACCCCTTCTTCTCGGGATCCTTTAACCACACACCTTGAGAGCGCATCCGACGATCGCTACTTTAAGCTCTGAAGCACGATGTCAGGAGTAGGAGTAGTAGTGGTGGTAGTAGTAGTAGTAGTATCACGGTTTTCTGCCTGAGGCTACTGTTGCTTATTCACAAGCTCTGTGTTTGTTGGTATCCTCAGAGTTCCTGTTCGTACTTGTTCTAGTGCTGCTGCTACATCTACTTCTTTAACTGCCACGTGGCTGCTTTTGAAGGACCAGCAGGCAGACGCCTCCGAGAACAAAGGCCCACGCGCCGTTTTCGCTGTATGGGTCAGTGTGTAAACTGTATGCAGGCTTTCGCTTCAGGGCCGTTGGAGTATATAGAGGTTTTCATAAAAGGTGTTGGGCGGGGGGGGCACCATTTTTCCTGATTGAAATCCTAATTTCCACATATTCTCATATTTCCGCATAGATTTCCTATAGCCCCCGGTTCAAACGGGTCCTCTTCTTTGCGACTGTTATGCAAGAAAGCTGAAAGAAATCAC